ACAGCCGTGTACTGTTATTAAGTGGTTGACCTGACCCGGGCAGTTTTGGCTCTAGTATGCGGGTTAGTGCTCGGCAGTACATTGTGGGTAGTTTGCGATTTACATAGTCGGCCTTATTTATCGTATATACAGGAAGGGATATTCTTCTTGCTCAAAGAAACCAGTTGGCATCTTAGTTCTATTATTCCTGGTCAGACCTCATGGTCCTGATCCCAGTTTCTCTATGCCATTGGATGGCAGGGGGCGGTTTGCCAGTGTTCTTACATCCCTAGTATGGGAGTTGACAAATTAATATGGAATTTAGGAGCGGGTCTGTTCCAAACCAGGAGCTAGCAGGTGTGTCATTGGTCTGGGACTCCATACGCCAGTGTCATTGGCTGTGGACTCCGGACACCCATGTTCTAATGGCCGGGGACACTGGGCACCATTGTGCCATCATCACAGAACTCGTGGGTTCCATTGTGTCATTGGCCAGGGACTCTGGGCTCTGGTTTTTCATTGGCTGGGGACTCTGGACCCTGGTTAGCCAGTGACCGGGAACTCTGGATGCCAGTGTGCCTTGGGCCATTGTGCCATGCTTTCAGATCTCAGGTGTGTGCCATTGTTCCAATTTGCAACAATGTGCCAGGACTCTGGCTATTGTTTTGCAAAACTCTGGGCCCCAGTGTGCCATTGCCCGGGCACTCTGCTGGTAAGCCATTGACAGGGAACTCTACATGCCAGTGTGCCATTGGCCACGGGTCTCTTGGCCATTGGCAAGGGACTCTGGACACCCGGTTTCCTTTGGCCATCGTGCCATCAGAAGAAGACTCCGGGCCCCCTGGTAATGGCAGGATTTTTTTTTAGGAGCCAGCTCCATTGGCAACAACTAGAGAAAACCTCAAAAGTTGGGCACCAGCTGTAATTTCTAAGGAGCATTGGCAACCTGGCTCTTGGAATTTGTCCAGCCCTGCCCTGGTAGCTCAACGCTGTTTCTTTTGACAACCCCACATCATGGTTGACATAAATGGCTGGATAAAAAAAAAGCTGATGCAACTTTCCAAGCATTGCTTTAGGCAGCCTAGCCATGTAGATGTGCATTAGGTTGAACTTGATGGTGTCTTTTTTCAACCTGACTATGTAACTTTGTACATGTGCATTAACAAGCACTGATGATCTGAAGCAGATTGTGTGAAGAGGTTCTCCAGCAACCTAAAAAAATCTTGTTGTAACCAATAGGTAATCATTACAAGTTCTATGGGGAAAAGGGATCAGAACTTTCACTGTGTTTGTGCCACATTCACCCATCATGGATGTTCTTGTCGATACACCACTCCTTCAAAACATTGCTCTGGTATGACCACCCTTAAGATGACCACAGATGTGAGAGAACAATCTTTTAATCAAGACAGGTTTTGGCGATCATTAAGACAGGACAGGCTTGAGATTGTGCCGTAGATGTTGTTGAGAGATTTGGATTAGTCATCTTACAACGTGCCGCCATCACATAGAAATCAAGTTAGAAAGGAGCATGGTCTGCATGAAGGAAGGTTATGTGCACTTTGCTCATGATTATCTTTTATCGGAACTGATTTTTTCAGCATGTTTGTTGATTTTTTTATGTGTTTGTTGGCCAAGGCAATTGTTCGTTTGTTCTTCATCCTCTAGCAAATGCTCAAGTGGTCAAGTCTAAATTCCCTGTATTTGGCGTCTTCCAGATTATGTCTATGACCACCTTTTATTGTTTCATTAGCCCAGGACCCCAAGAGTTGGCGAGGGTCTTCATACGCCAGTGCCATTGCTTGTGAGCAACAGAGTGCCATCAACAGGGGACCTGGGGTTCTGTTGCGTCATTGGCCAGGAAATTCAAGGTGTGCCAGTGGCTGGGGACTCCAGACTCTGGTGTGTCATTAGACTACATATGCCAGTGCCATTAGCTGTAGACTCTGGTGCCAGTGGTCCATTGACCGAGGGCCCCAATTATTCTTGGTTAGACTGCATTGTCCTGGAATCTCAGTGTTTGTGTCATTTGATTGTAGCGGTCGGTTTGTCAATGTTCTTGGACCTCTAGTACAGGGGTGGACAAATGAATATGGAATTCAGGGACCAGTCTGTCCAATCCCGATAACTGTTGCTCCATTGACAACAACTAGAGAAAACCTAAAAAGTTAGGCACCAGCTGTAATTTTTTAGGCGCATTCACAACTCTGATGTGCCATTGATCCAGGACTCCATACACCAGTGCCCATTGGCTGTGGACTCTGGCACCATTCCAATGTGCCATCAGCAAGGGACTTGGGGTCCTGTTGTGTCATTGGTCAGGAAATGTATGGTGTGCCAGTGGGCGGGGACTCCAGACTCTAGTGTGACATTGGTCGTGGACTCCATACACCAGTGCCATTGGCTGTGGATTCTGGCACCAATGTTCCATTGGCTGGGGACGTCAATGGCCATCAGCAGGGGACACAGGGTTCTGTTGTGCTATTGACCAGGGACTCTGGATCCCAGTGTGCCATTGGGCAGGACTCTCGGTGCTAGTTAGCCATTGTCCTGGAACTCTGAATGCCATTGTGCTATTGGTCATGGATCCCTTGTGTCATTGTGCCATGCTTTCAGATCTCAGGAGTCAATGTCCCATTGTTCCAATTTGCAACAATGTGCCAGTACTCTGGTCCTAGTATTGTAAAACTTCAATGTGTTAAAAAAATGGACTTCCCAAATCAATGTTTACCTTTAGGTGCACCAAAGCTCAATTATTAAATTTTGATTTTCATGGGATACCTCCTGTAATCCTCCAAAAAGCTGTTTTTCACCTGCTACAAGAGAAACAAAGAAGCGCCCTTTGTACCGGTGTCCTCCACTATTTCTGCTCCTGAAAAGGTTTCATTTTCTTTAATCCCGCCAGTGCTGCTGTCAGCGAGGGAAGTGGTTTTCGGATGCTCTAAGCAGGTCACTGAATGGGAAGTGTATTATGGTTATCTGTGTGGTCAGCAGTTAAAGGCTGACCTTAAGCCGTTGCTCTATCCTACTCCTGGAGCCTTATCTTCTCATGACTCATGAATTTTATTCTCAATGATGGGTCTCTAGAAATTGGGAAAAAGCCTCTGTGAAAAGCGAAACCAGAGGTGAATCACTTGGTGCATCAAATACAAGTAATTCACAGCCGTTTTATTTTTATATATAGTATACTAATATATATATCTATATAGATCTATATAAAATATTTATTGAATACTTGTTATTTCTTTGTCCGGACTGTAAAATATATCCTAAAAGGCAATACCAGATTGCAGGTAAAATCAATTATTAAATTACTAATTCAATTCAGTTTTCCCCATGAAAGTTCAGCTTTTGGCTCTCTGGACAATAGTCGGCTGTCTGTCCTCATTGGGATTTGCCGCTACCATGGTGCTCGCTCAGACATTGGGCGAATGCAGTACGCACAATTTGAATAATTGTCTGTTTTCGCTATGGAAAAGGGAGCTTTTGGAGTGCTGGGTGAATTCAAACACAACATAAATAAAAATGGTGGTTATATAACCTTATTCAATTTACATATAAAAATCAACATTCCTCCCCCAGACCACCTCCCGTGGTCCCCCGCTGCACTTGCATGTCTGAAGTCCATGCCAACCACTAGTGTAGCGGACCGTATTTCCCAGCCCCGCAGTATGGTATGCTCCTAATGCTCGCAAATGGCAAGCGCTTATTGGTCAGCATGGTCACACGACCACACTGACCAATGAGTGTCATGTGACAGTTCTGTTACCTGATGATTGATCCTGCACTATCACATGGGGATGGGGGCAAGGTCCTCAGCCTTGTGTTAGTACCAAGTTTGCTTGGAGCTTGCATATGCTTTCTTTGCTTCTGCATAGAATTCTGCTTTAAAAGATTGACATATTCTTAACAACAGTCAAAGAGTTATAACACAAGCCCTCAATTACCTCTTTAGCTGCAGGAACTGCACATAAATTCATCCTCACAGGGACCCTGAGGTCAGGTTTCAATCTGTTTCTAACAGGCTGTCTAGTTTTTGCTGCCAGAGGAAAAAAAAGGGTAGAGGAACCGATTTCAGCACCTAGGGTATGAAATTTGAGGATGAATTGCTCCACAGTTTCTGCAGATACATAGATCAGAGAGGGCTTGTTTTAAAGCTCTTTTACTGCTTAAGAATATGTAAATACTTTACACTCCATAGTCTGTGCATAGGCGCACTTAAATGGACCCTGTCATGTGCTAAAAAGCTTTTAGGAAAACACATACCTGTAAGGAAGAGGCTTAAGACTTCTCCTGTCACTTGTGCTGCTCTCTTGCAAAGAGCTGGTCTTCCAAAGTCTGCTGGGACATCCCCACAGTTCCCATGAAGCTCTTCCTGGTTCTTCCCGCTGACCTCTACATCACTACTCTACCCCACAGTGACGTGAGAAAGTCATGTTAATTGGGCCGCCTTAACGAGCGTAACCACACGTTAACGGACCAACGTTACCGACCCGTAAGGGGTCCTTGGCCATAGCTGTTCTTCATGACTAATGTTGGCAGATCTTCTCTTTCTCAGGAAACTGGTGGAAGGTTTTGGTTTTGATAAGATAGATGCAGCCTGAGGGCAGGTTCTCGCTATTTTCCAGACCAGAAAATGGTGCGAAAAAGGGTGTGAACCTGCCCGGCCCGCAGTTCCAGTGCATTCCAGACCAGACAAAATGAGATATGCAGTATTTTTCTGGTCTGGAACGGACTGCGCTGGTGTGAACAGAGACCAGAAATAACGTAGGGATACATTAGGATGCATTTTGGGTCCGCAAACAATCTGGTCTGGTCTGGAGATGATCAGGATGTGGTGTGAATGGGCCCTGGAAATCACCACATCTACAGAGATAGCATTCCAGGAATTTGGAAAGTAGCCATACCTATCGTTCACCATAGTTCAGATCTGGGAAGTCGATGTTTTCTACTTATGGACACCTGATATTTCCACATTGTCTCTGTAGCTCTGACAGTTTTTATTGTCTCTTCCCGGGCAGGTGCACAGATTATCGATCTGATGATGCTGGTCATCGACGTGACAAAGGGCATGCAGACGCAGTCAGCGGAGTGCCTGGTCATAGGCCAGATTGCCTGCAACAAGATGGTGGTAGTGTTAAATAAAACAGACTTGCTTCCGGAAAACAAGAGGCAGGCGGCTATTGACAGAATGACCAAGAGGATGCAGAAGACGCTGGAAAGTACAAAGTGAGTGAAGCTCATTGACGAGGCCAAAAATACGGTATTTTCCTGAATCTGTAGTCGCATGGCACACCAAGTCCTGAGTCTTCTCTCTTCCCCATTGCAGAGTGGGGTGTCCTTTAGGTATCCATATTGTTGCTTGGGTGATATGGGCTCTTCCTGCTAGCGGTGCAGCAGCCTGGGTCCCCTCAGGGTCCCAAAGACATATTTTGGCAGTACAATACAGGCCTGTACTTAACGTCAGCTTATTGACACAGCACAGGAGGAACCCTGAAATCTGTGGCTGCAATAACATGTTCCTGTTGGCCAGTATGGCTGTCTTTCATAGTGAGAGGCCTGTAGGAACAGATGGGAGGTGAATGGAGCTCCCCAGCTTTCGGCACTCTCCGGAAGTATAAAGAATACTGTGTTACTGTGGCCCCAGATTTCAGAGATCTCCCAGTGCTGGATCGGCCGTCCAAAGGTAGGTATGGTACCAAGGCATGTTCAATACCCTTAGGGTACTGAAAGGTTGACTTTAAAGTATCTAAAACTGTTTTATTCCTGGCTGTGCTCTACTGGAGCATATTCCCTTCACTTCCTGTCCCAGAGACACAACAATAAGTGATTGAGAATCTCTTCAAGGTGAGAAGAATTCCTCTCTTAGACATGTGTCCCTGGAACAGGTGTCCCCATTGGAAGATTTCCCCGCTACTCTTGTTCCAGTTACAGCTTTACCGACAGTGATTTTTCCCTTCACTTCCTGTTCTAGAGACATAACCAGGAGTGATTGATAATCTCTTAAAGGTGAGGAAAATTCTGCTCTTGGGTGTCCAGGTGTCCCCATTAGGAGAATTCCCCTCCTATTCCTGTTCTAGTGACGGCTATGCCAACAGTGATTTCCCTTCACTTTCTGTCGCAGTAACACTAGACCCCAGGACAGAGACACAAACGGCAATACAAAACTGAGAGGAGTTCCAGCCCTAAAACTAAAGCTGACCTCCGGGGACACAAACTTTAAGCTAGATACATTCCTCAATAGCCGCAAAGGATATAAATTCACTCTGTGTGCATGAAATGTCTTTGCTAACTGTAATAACTTTGTAAATGTTGCAGTGACATCATCACTGTGCTGTACATAGCCTGTGCAGAGAGCAGAGCTGTGGGAGGGACCCAGCAGGCCCCACCCACTACAAGCTGCTTAAAAAAAAAATACAGGAGGGGGCGGAGACAAGACCAGTCACCCTGCACAAGGAGAGAGAGCAGCAGTGACCGGTCTTTATTACAGACGGGCGAGGAGACAAGACCAGTCACCCTACACAAGGAGAGAGAGCAGCAGTGAGCGGTCTTCATTACAGGAAGCTCCAAGTTTTGCACAGATCTGGAAGAAATACACAAAGCTCACCAGGATCATCAAGGAAGAACACACATGGACAATATTTGCTTATCCTCGAGTTGAGCTTTTTTTTTTACTTTACCCCAGCAGTGGTTTAAAGGGCATCCATGGCCAAAAACTAAATATAAGTCTGTATTTCCGTATTGAATTTCTATACATTTCTATCCTGCTCCTAATAACCATATCCATCAAGACGTTTGTAAATTGAAGATACCCATTGGATATACTTCCTCAATGCAGTGACACCATTTCACGCAGCCCCGTGAACATGCACTTCCTCGTTTCACCAATTTCACAGAGCCTGCCTTCTGAACTCCAACTCCATATCCGAACAATGTAACATCATCATTGCTCGCTGGAAGCAATGCATGATGGGACATGTAGTCTTGGGGAAATGGAGATTGTATCGCTTCAAGCAGCAGGGAAAGAGACGCAAAGCACACTGGGAATCCAGGAGCTTTGTGGAAGTGATCGGCAGGCGGAAGGCGGCACTCCCTATATAAAAGGGAATTTTTCAAGTAAGCTTTGATTGTATTATCAGAAACATCTCCAGTATGTATTCCTATTACAATGCTGATGTTATAACAGGAGAGGAGATGCCGGGACTCCACAACTCCTTTTAATATCATTTTTATAGAAAACCCCGTAAAACCTTTTAGAATGGAAATATCCGATCTGTCGTCTTTGCACGGCGGTCGATCTTGGTGGCAGGGAGCGATGCTGAACACTACGTCGGTTTTTGGCAGCCGCTCTATAAAAGGTCTTGGTGGTTGGAGCAGCGGGCATCACTCGGCTCCAGTCATTCTTTCCCCCGAATCCGTGCATGGGATTGTTATTATTTGTTAAAATGAATACACCTGTTTCAACAATTGTTCCTCTTCACGCAATGTTCGTTTTTTTTTTTTGCTGTTTGGATTAAGTGTAATTGAATTTCCCCGAGCTTTGTGCTTAATCTCTTTTGACTCTCCGTATGAATGTTCCCAATCAGAGCCGTGGGCAAACGGATTACACTCACTGGAAGTCACTGTTGGAGGCTCACGCTAAAAAAATTCAACGTGTGCCGGAGAGGATGAAGCCCGGAGAGATCCGTCTATAAAACAAGGGGTGTCCTGCTCCTGCTAGGGCAAAGGAAGTGCATCCCCCTCAACCACACTTTGGACCGATTTTCAGAAGCTTTGGCACTGGGTTGTATTAATAATGAGAACTATGGGGAAAAGCCTTAACCCCATAGTTCTCCTTTTTTAAATGCAGAACTCCAGCCAAGAACAACCAAATACAAATGAATAGCCCATTAAATAACAAAACCAGCTATTCACTTTCGATCCATAGATTTCCCCCGCCACTAGATGTCCTCCGTCTAATGTCTAGCATCACTCAACCCACTTCCTCTGAGTCCAGGTTTTCAGGAATTCGCCCCCACAAGGAAAAGAGAAGCGGCACAGAGCTGATCTCTCTCTCTCTTTCCTCTCTCTCTCTCTCTCTCTCTCTCTCTCTTTCCTATCAGCATGCTTCTTGCAAGCACATGAGCTGCTCGACTCCATGTGCTGCTTCCTCTCACACACAAGCCTTCCTCTACAGGGACTGCAAGAGGCTGATACCAACTCAGATGCTAGATGTACTCCATCTGATGTCTAGCATCACTCAACCGACTCCCTCTGAGTCCAGGTTGTCTTGGACTCGCCCCCACAAGGAAAAGAGAAGCAGCACAGAGCTTACCTCTTTGTCACGCTCTCCTCCTATCAGCATGCTTCTTGTCAGCATATGAGCTGATCGACTCTGTGAGAGGAAGCAGCAGCACAAGAAGTCGAGCAGCTCATGTGCTGATAAGAAGCATGCTCATAGGAAGCGACAACAGAGTGACAGAGAGATGAGCTCATCACTGTACTACTTGTCTTTACCTTGTCCAGTCACAGGCTGGGGGCGAGTCCAGGATGACCTGGGCTCAAAAGAAGTGGTGTGAATGATGCTAGACATCAGACTAAGGACAACTAGTATCTGACTTAGTATCAGCCTCCTGCAGTCCCTGTACAGCAAGGCTTGAGTGTGAGAGAAAGAATTAGCACGCAATCAAGCCTTGCTGTACAGGGACTGCAGGAGGCTGATACTAAGTCAGATACTAGTTGTCCTTAGTCTGATGTCTAGCATCATTCCCCCCACTTCTTTTGAGCCCAAGTCGTCATGAACTTGCCCCCAGCTTGTGACTGGACAAGGAAAAGACAAGTAGTACAGTGATGAACTCGTCTCTCTGTCACTCTGCTGTCACTTCCTATCAGCATGCTTCTTGTCAGCACATGAGCTGATCGGCTCTGCGTGCTTCTTCTTCCTCTCGCACCCCAGACCCTGCTGTACAGGGACTGCAGGAGGCTGATACCAAGTTAGATTCTAGATACCCATAGTCTGATGTCAAGAGCTGGGCAGTGCATCACCAGGACGTCGGCCAAAGCGCTGTTAGTGTGCACCACCAGCTCCCCATCAAACCCCCCATCTCCAACACCCACCTCCTTTGCAACGTGACCACCAGTATCCGCTCCCCACCTTAGTCGGCACCCCTGGTGGTATATGATATAAATTGTTACAGAAGACTATCACAGGCTGAAGGCTTACTACAGGAAATGGTCATAGACTGTTACAGGAGCGGTTGAAGACTGAAGTCATGCTATAGCGCAGCGTTTTTCAACCACTGTGCCGCGGCACACTAGTGTGCCGTGAGATATTGTCTGGTGTGCCGCGGCTTTGGCTCACAAATAGACCAATCATACCGGTGCGAGAGCAGGGGACGCGGGTCGGCAATGGAGCCGCGACGAGAGCTGGGAGCGTGGAGCAGCCGCGATGACATAGCTGGGGCCGTGGAGCGGCGGTGACCGGGTATAGAGCGGTGATGCAGCCGCGTGACAGAGCAGGGGGGCGTGGAGTAGTGACGGCGTGGAGAAAAGATGAAGCCGTGACAGAGCCGGAGGGGTGGAGCGATGAAAGTTTCTGTCACGTCTCCAGCTCGGGGGGAGGAGCCGGTGACGTGACAGGAGCTCTGAGCCGTTACAGAGCCGGAGCATTGATAGAGGCAATTCTGCCAGCATCCCTCAGAGGACCCCCCTTTCTGCAGGTCTTGTCACGCTCCTAGCAACTGGGAAGGTGAGGGGGTTCTTTTCCATGACACACCAGCAGTGTGCACTTGACTAGTGTAAAGAAAAAGAAAAAAAGTGGGGCTTTAATGGTGCCAAAAGACAATTCTGAATAAAAATGTCTTTTTATTTGAGATATGTATACACTTTACACTTTCAACCCAGGGGTGTGGTGCTTAAATACTCAGGTCTTGTGCCTCGTGATTTTTTTCATGAAAAAAGTGTGCCTTTGCACAAAAAAGGTTGAAAAACACTGCTATAGCGGACTGTGAGAGACCAGGGACATGGTACAAGAAACTGCTAAAGTTTACCGTTCTTAAAGGCCCCTTTACCAATCAATGCTCCCAATACCAGCTGCTGGGGCCTGAGGGGTGTACTTCAGCAAAGGGCCACATGTGGCCCTCAAACCGCTGGTTCGACCCCAGGGGCTGTGATGCACTTTAACAGAAGAAGAGTTTTCCGTTACTTTAAAATACATTCGGGTAACTTGAAGCTCCGTGCTTGGTTTAGAATGACCGGGACATGTACCCATTTAATAAGGAAGGCCATAATGTCCCTTCACACGATAACAATGAACCCGACATTGGAGACCGCACTCGCATGCTGAGCGCAAATCACCATCTCCTACTGAACGCGGCTCCCTCTTGTCTCTGGTAATATTGTCAGATAAATCCACATGTGGAGTCAATAAGATGCCGAAATCCAAAAACAATAATAGATAAGAGGGTTTTCCTCATCCCCCCACCTCTTCCAGCCAGTGGTCATGTCCATTATTGAGGATGCATTTGTGTGTCTTTAGTCTGTGGAATTAACTCTTTTGATGCTAAAGATTGTTGGTCTGCTAATAGAAAAGACTTTTCAGGACTTGGTCCTGGAGCGGAACTGTACTTGCCTTCCTCTGGCGATGTGACCTTCTCAAGTGTCTTTGCCGATGCCAACATCTTCGTCTGGTCGTCTTCCGGGTCCAGGATCTTTGGGGTGCTAGCATCATGTAATGCCCACACTTCTGCCTTGTAGCACTGGGGTCTTTGGTTTTAATACCGTATCTGTTTGGAGTTTGCATGTTTTTCCTTTGCTTCCATGGGTTTCCTCCCACACTCCAAAGACATGCTGGTTGGTTAATTGGCTCCTGTCTAAATTGCACCTGGTATGAGTATGTATGTATGTATGTATGTATGTATGTATGTATGTATGTATGTATGTGAGATGGGGACCTTAGATTGTAAGCTCCATGAGGGGCAGGGACTGATGTGAATGTGCACTATGTAAAGTGCTATGTAAATTGTCAGGTATAATACCTGTAATCAATAAATTGTAAAAACAAATCCTGCTTCTGGCATTTTTTATACTTTTTCCAGCAAATGTGTCCTCCACTGATCACTGGTACAACATGGAAAATGCATCAAAAGCTAGGGATGCACCGAAACTGATACCAGCATCGGTGCCGATACCGAGTATTTGGGCGAGTACTTGTCCTCTCCCAAATGCTCCGATACTTACCCCCGATACCGGAACTTTTGGTCAGAGGGAGATTTCTTCCCACGAGAGAACATGTAGCCGGCTTCCTGATTGGCCGGGAAGCAGGCTCCATGCTGTTTGGCCGGCTCCGTGCTGCATGGAGCCGGCCACACAGCATGGAGCCGGCTTCCCGGCCAATAAGGAAGCCGGAGGCAGGTAATGATCCGCCTCCCTGTAATTGCGTGCAGAAGTCTATACCTCCTCATGGACGGATAAGGCTGCACACAGTTGCATGCAAACCTGAACTTGCACATCTGTGTGTGTCTGGGTGCCCTGTTTGTGTCCAAGTGCGGGTACTCGGATCTGCACGGATGAGCAGGTTTGAGTCTGCGCGTAACTGCGTGCAGCCGTGTCTTCACATAGGAAAGTACAGGCCCTGTCCCTCCGGGGAGCAGGTCTCTGCATGGGCATGCATGCCCCTGTGAATGGGCCCCAACTAGTATTCTTTGTGGGGATGTTGTCTGTTTTTTTTTTTTTGTTTTTTTTGGCTTGTTTTTTAATAATTTATCCCTTTCCTTTCTAATAATCTATTTTTTTCTCTCTGGTTAGCAGATGCATACTGGGAATCAACCTTCTTATTGTGTGTCTCTCTCTACCCCTAGATTCCACGGGTCTCCTATCATTTCTGTGGCTGCTAAACCAGGCGGACCCGAAGCTCCGGAGTCTGTGACTACTCAGGGAATATCCGAGCTTATTGAGGTGAGTGAAGAGCCTGCTAAGGTGTTGCAGTTCTTGTACATAAATTCTTTATTATGTTCTGTAATAAAGAATAACATTTTAAAGAAGTTTTATTTATATTGATATATGTGTGTGTGTGTAATATCAAATATTGCATATGTTATTTTTACCAGTTACAGCCATTAAATGGCATGCCACTGCCACTCGAAGTGCCTGCAGAGAGCCTGTGTTAAGAATTGACTGGTCAGATCATATGCACAGCTGAATAATTCAGAGGAGGGACTCTTCCCCCTTCCTTTTCTCCCCGCAGATACAGACCCTTGTGGGTTTTGATTTAGAGGCAGTTATGCAAAAAACACTGCTGGGCTTTCTAGAAAGCCCAGTATCAGATACAATTTAAATGCTATGGAATCACCCTGCAATAAATGTTTTTAAAACTAATATTTTATATACTACGGCCATAAGTTTGTTAACACCCGACCATCACACCTACCCATATGTTGGCACCCCTCCCAGTGATTGAGGTCAGATGTTTCCAGGTGAAGGGCACAGTTAATACCACATAAAGACATTTTAGACATTTGTGCATTTCCAGCTTGTGGTAACAGTTTCCAGCTCCATAAAGACACGTTTTGACCGTGTTTTGATGTGGAGGAACTCAAGTGGTCTGCACAGATCTGTGTTCTCAACCAAAATGAACACTGTTGGGTGGATTGGGACACCGAATGTGAGTCAGGTGTTCTCTTCATCAGTACCTGACCTTACAAATGTCATTTTGGCTAAATGGGCACAAATTTCCTCAGACACCCTCCAAAATCTTGTAGAAGGTCCAGATTAATGGAGGCTATTATAGCAGCAAAAGTGGGGGTTCAGGGTAGAATCCTATCTATCTATCTATCTATCTATCTATCTATCTATCTATCTATCTATCTATCTATCATGTTTTTGTTACTGAGCTTCTGCTTTGCAAACCCCATTATCTTGTAAAATCACCCAAGGTGATAATAGTTGTTGCTATTTGGGGCTTTGCGTTAAAATTAAACATGACCGGTGGTCTTTTTATATTGATCCCCAGGAGATGCAGGGAGCAGGCAAAGGTCGCTGACCTTCCCAATCACGCCACGGCTGGTCCTGTGCACTCTGCAAAGAAAGTCACAACTGTTCCTGTGTATCAAGCCGGAATCTGACATTGGCCATATATAGCCCTCCTTTGTGTACTCAGCCATTGTATTATCTCAAAGAATTGATATATATATATCACAGTAGCAGCCATTTCTGTGCTAATATAACTCCATCTGCAGGATCATGTCACAAACTTTAGCAAGTTCAAATTTGAAAAGTATTTAAAAAAAATATATTTATATTTATACATTTTTCAATTTTCTATTTTATATATATTTTTTATAAGAATCCTATCTATCTATCTATCTATCTATCTATCTATCTATCTATCTATCTATCTATCTATCTATCTATCTATCTATCTATCTATCTATCATGTTTTTGTTACTGAGCTTCTGCTTTGCAAACCCCATTATCTTGTAAAATCACCCAAGGTGATAATAGTTGTTGCTATTTGGGGCTTTGCGTTAAAATTAAACATGACCGGTGGTCTTTTTATATTGATCCCCAGGAGATGCAGGGAGCAGGCAAAGGTCGCTGACCTTCCCAATCACGCCACGGCTGGTCCTGTGCACTCTGCAAAGAAAGTCACAACTGTTCCTGTGTATCAAGCCGGAATCTGACATTGGCCATATATAGCCCTCCTTTGTGTACTCAGCCATTGTATTATCTCAAAGAATTGATATATATATATCACAGTAGCAGCCATTTCTGTGCTAATATAACTCCATCTGCAGGATCATGTCACAAA